GACTGATGTTTCTTCAGAAGAAGGGTCTAGGCCCGAAACATCAGTCTTCCTGCTCCTCTCATGCTGCTTGGCCTGCTGTGTTCATCCAGCTCTACACCTTGTTCTCTCACATCTGTTCAGGTTCACTTTCAAAAGACTTGTTTTTAGATCTTTTTGGTTTTTGGACATGTGAATAAAGGATGCCCAATCTGTAATATTTTTTGATTTCTAGAAGGTATTTGATAACCTACTAAATGTTAGACTACTTCATAAGATAACAGCCCATGGTGTTGGGAGTAGTATATTACTATGAACAGAAGATTGGTTAACTAGTAGAAGACAGAGTTGGGATAAAGTGGGCATTTTCACGATGGCAACCTGTAAACTAGTGAAGTGACAAGGGAGCAGTCCTGGGGTCACAATTATATACATTAAAAGATTTGATGACGGAAGTGAACGTACTATTGCCAACTTTGTAGATGACACAGAAATAGGGGGGAAAGCAACTGGTGACTATAACACAAAAATAACTGTGGTGGGATATAGACAGGTTAAGCAAGTTGGCAAAAACTTATTAGATGAAATCTAATGTGGGAAAGTGTGAGGTTATGCACTTTGGCAGAAAGGATAGAAGAGATGAATATTATTTAAATGGAGAAAGACTACAGACAGCTGCAGCACAAAGGTATGTGGGAGGCCTTGTGCATAAATCACAACCAATTAGCATACAAATTCATCAGGTAATTTGGAAAGCAAATGGAATGTTGGCTTACATTTTAACGGGAATGGAGTATAAAAATAGGGAAGTCTTGCTAAAAAGCACTAATTAGACCACACCTGGAATACTGTGAACAGTTCTGGCCCCTTATCTAGGCAAAGGTATACTGGCATTGGAGGCAATCCAGAGAAAGCTGGTCCTCATTACGGAGAGATTGTCTTATGAGAAGATGTTAAATGATTTAACCTATATTCAATGAAGTTTGAAGAATGAAAGGCAACCTTATTGAAACATACAAGATTCTTAGGTGATGCAAAAAAGAATTGCAGATGCTGGAAATCTGAAACAAAAAAGAAACTGCTGGAGAAACTCAGCAGATCTGGCAGCATCTGTAGAACCAACATTTCGGGCCCAGTGACGCTTCTTCAGAACTGATTGTAGCTAAGAAAAGGATGTCTATGTTTGTGAATCACAAAAAAATTAGAATACCGATATAGATACAGGGACATTATGTCTAGCAAATTTGTTAGAATTTTTTGAAAATGTGATCAATTATGTGGATAAGGGAAGTTCAGTTGATGTAGTCTTTTCACAAGGTCCCACTTGGGAGACTGATTGAGAAGGTTAAGGCATATGGAATTCAGGGAAACTTGGTCAGATGGATCAGCAACTGGCTTAGTAATGGGACTCAAAGGGTGTTTGAGTGACTGGAGGCTGGTGTCCAATAGTGTACCACAAGAATCACTACTGGGCCCTTTACTGTTTGTTATATACTTAAATGATATAGATGAAAATGTGGGGGGACTTTTGAGCAAATTTGCAGAAGACACTAAGATTGGTAGTATAGTTAATAGTGAAGAAGATGGCTGTGGGTTACAGGAAGATATAGATGGATTGGTCAGATGGGCAGACCAGTGGCAGATGGTATTTAACCCTGATAAGTGTGAGGTGATGCACTTTAGAAGAAGCAACAAGACGAAGGAGTATTTAATGAATGGCAGGCACTGGGTAGATTAGAGGAACAAAGCGATTTTGGTGTATTCACAGATCCCTGAAGTCAGTAGAGCACATGAATAGGATAGTTAAGAAGGCATATGGGATACTTGCTTTCATGAGTCGTGGCATAGAGTATAAGAGCAAGGAGGTAATGTTGGAGTGGACAGACCGTTGGTCAAGCCACAGCTGGAGTACTGGTCGTCTCACTACACAAAGGATGTGATTGCATTAGAGACGGTATAGAGAAGGTTCACCAGAATATTGCCTGGGCTGGAGAAATGGAGCTATAGGGAGAATCTAGATAGGCTTGGGTTCTTTTCGCTAGAGCAGAGAAGTTTGAGGGGGGACATGATTGAGGTGTATAAGATTATGAGGGCTCTGAACAGGGTGAATAGAGAGCAACTATTCTGCTTGGTTGAGGAGACAACCAAGAGGGCATAGATTTAGGGTAAGGTAAGGGGCAGAAGATTCAGAGGGGATTTGGGAAAAAAAAACATTCTTACTAGCAGTTGGTGGGAATCTGGAATGCACTGCAGTGGAGGCCAAAAACCTTACAACCTTTAAAAAATATTTGGATGAATATTTCAAATATCATAACATTCAAGGATATGGGACAAGAGCAGGAAATTGGGATTAGCGTGCCTTTAATGGTAGTTATGTTGGTGCAGACTCGATGGGTCTTTTCTGTGCTGAATGAATCTATGAATAAAAAAGTAACAGCAAGTATAGTAGGTTCTTGCTTTGAGTCACCCCATTTGAAGTTGTTTAATTTCAACATTGGCCAGTTAATAGGATCTATATCCTTGTTAAGTGATTCGAGTTTTCTTTTAATTTTGTTTCACACTCGGTGTGATGTAAGGTTGCATGACCTTATTGGTGACACTTCATTCTGGTCTCTCCCACTTCACAAACCTCCCAATTGCTGTCTTTCCAGGTTATGTCTTCTCTCCATGGCTCTGCCATCGATGCCAAATCTGTGAATGAATAAAATGAGTTGGAAGTGCAGACACATGTAGCTGACCTTAAACTTGAGGTGTAAATTCATTGAAAAATAATGATCTTGTGGCTGTAGTACAGTACCATATAAATAAAAAGTAAATAGAGGTTATAAAAAAGATGACAACCATTTGAAAGTCACTCGGAGATAGCAAGAACTGCAAAGAGGGAGAGTCAGAGTCAATACAGTATGGAGTCGGAGGAGGACAGCAGGTCAGGCAGCATCAGAAGAGCGGGAGAGTCGATGTTTTGGGTCAGGACCCTTTATCAGTCCCGATTAAGGGTCCTGACCCGAAACGTCGACTCTCCTGCTCCTCTGATGCTGCCTCAGCTGCTGTGTTCCTGCAGCTCCACACTGTATTGAATTTGAAAGCCACTGCTTATTTTCTGAATAGTGCATACAATTAAATGGAACTGCTTAAAATAAATTAAGAAGCAATCTATTTCCTGAAAACTTGACCTACATTACTTCTACTATAGGTGAAAAGCCATTGATTTCCAAACATCCTATATTTGTCATCTTCCTTCTTCTGGGGCATTTTGAGCAGATCAACATTTCCATCTCTCCCTAACCTTTCTTCTTTCTCACCTTTCTCTACTTCAGTGCAACCCTCCTTAAAGTAAGTTGAGTGCAATTCTCTGGAATTTTAGTGTTTTTTTTCCAATTTGGAAGGGGAGATGATGGCATTCTACCATAACAGCGGTTGGAATTTAAATTTGATTAATAAATCTATAACTAAAAGAAACCATTGTTGTCTAATGCCGAAAACCTATCCGGTTCACCAATGCCCATCTGTACCAGGTCTGACCTACATAAGACACTGAATCCAGAGCAATGTGGTTGATGCTTAACTGGTTTCTGAAAGGCCGAGCAAGCCATTCAGTTTAAGGGTAATTTGGAATGGGCAACAAATATTGGCCTTGCCTACATCCTATGAAAGAATAAAAAGAAAATAGCTAAATCTGAACAATTCAAACTAATTTAGTCTTCCGTACAAATAATTAAGATAATTTTGAGGCTGATTGTATATCATGGTTTGAATACAAAAAGAGAAAGTACATTATGAATTGATGAACTATGTGATGAATAAGATTGCAGTCACATGAAAAAAATCCTTTGACAATAACTAAAGTGGCTCTGAGGCTAGAGATGCAAAGTGCCTACATGTATATGAACATAGAACATAGAACAGTACAGCACAGTACAGGCCCTTCGGCCCATGATGTGCTGACCTATTATCCTACTAAGATCAATCTACCATGCATACCCTACATTTTACTATCCTCCATGTGCCTATCCAAGAGTCGCTTAAAAGTCTCTAAAGTATCTGACTCCGCTACCACTGCTGGCAGTGCATTCCACACGCCCACCACTCTTCTGTGTGAAGAACCTACCTCTGACATCTCCCCTATACCTTCCTCCAACCACCTTAAAATTATGCCCCCTCATAATAGTCATTTCTGCCCTGGGGAAAAGTCTCTGACTATCCACTCTATCTCTGCCTCTCATCATCTTGTATACCTCTATCAAGTCACCTCTCATCCTTCTTCACTCCAATGAAAAAAACCACTAACTCCCTCAACCTTTTCTCATAAGACCTGCCCTCCAGTCCAGGCAGCATCCTGGTAAATCTCCTCTGCACTCTCCCCAAAGCTTCCACATCTTTCCTGTAATGAGGTGACCAGAACTGAACACAATATCCCAAGTGTGGTCTAACCAGAGTTTTATAGAGCTGCAGCAAGACCTCACAGCTCTCAAACTCAATTCCCCTTCCAATGAAAGCCAGCACACCATACGCCTTATCAACTTGGGTCGCAACTTTGAGGGATCTATGGACGTGGTGGCCAAGATCCCTCTGTTCCTCCACACTGCTGAGAATCCTACCATTAACCCCGTATTCTGCATTCAAATTTGACTTTCCAAAATGAATCACTTCACACTTTTCCGGGTTGAATTCCATCTGCCACTTCTTTGCCCAGCTCTGCATCCTGTCAATGTCCCGTTGCAACCTACAACAGCTCTCCACGCTGTCCACAACTCCACCAACCTTCGTGTCATTGGCATTTACTACCATTAGCACTTCATTTGTTTTTTTCTCTGGGAACCCACACCACCTGTTCCACTTGCTCCTCCTCCCCTTTGTCAACAGCATTAAAAAAAAAATTATTTAAAAAAAACCAAAGAACTGTGGATGTTGGAAGTTAAAATAAAAATATTTTTTCCAGCCCCATTATGTTCTGAATTGGACGTGAAACATTCACTCTTTTTTTTCTTCACAGATATTGTCAAATTTGCTGAGTTTTTCCAATCCTTTTTGTTTATATTTCCTTTGTTCACTGAGCTGCCTATCAAGATTATTACTCTCAGGAGAATGTCTATCCATCACTAAATGTGCAAAAGGTTCCCGTGCACTTCCCTTTGATAAACCCTTCGGTATTATGATCTTTAAGTACTGAATATTTGCAGCATTTTCTGTCTTCATTCTTTCAATTGACTGTTGGCTCGGACTTCAATGAATGAATTAGCTTTATTGTCACATGTACTCGAATAAGTAGTGAGAAGTTGGTAAGTTGCTACTTACACCACCATCGTAGGTATTAACGTACCTGGGTACAGAATATTAGAAGATAATCAGACACGAACAATTCATACTTGCTTTTTGCTATTAACCACAATAATATCATCAGGACTTTTGTTTTATGTCTGAATTTTATTTCAATTGTTTCGATTTTGCCTTCAGGCAATCATTCTCTGTGACCATGCTTTATGTATAAACTTGGAGATAAAGGATAGAACTGAAGCCAATCAGTATAGCATTAGTTCAGAAAGATTTACATTGCAAAACATACATCTTCTCACCTACCCTCATAGTTTCAATCAATTCATATTTATCTCACTTTTGACTAACTTAAAGATGACTTTATGTTTGCACTTATTGATTGGTGCACAAGTGAACTTAAAGAGACTTTTCACTGTATTTTGTCATTTTCTCATTGTGAAATAGATCATAGAATCCCTGCAGTGTGGAAACAGGCCATTCAGCCCAACAAGTCCAACTCGCCCCTCTGAAGAGTATCCCACCCAGACCCATTCCCCTACCATTTACCTGTAACCTGGCATTTTCCATGTCTAATCCACCTAACTTACACACCCATGGACACTATGGGCAATTAACCTGCAGATCTTTGGACGATGGGAGGAAACTGGAGCACTCGGACGAAACCCACACAGAAATGGGGAGAATGTGCAAACTCCACACAGTCACCCGAGGGTGGAATCAAAATCAGGTCCCTGCTGCTGTGAGGCAGCAGTGCTATCCACTGAGCCACCGTTCCGGCCCATGTAACAATAAAATCGAAACTGAAAGTTTTTCACTATTTTATTCTCACTGTAAAACACATGTGACAATAAAATCAAAATCAAGATGTTAAGATGTGTTAGATGCCTCAATTTAAAGAGGTAATGAAAGGGGCACCATAAACACACTAACACCGACCCTAAATGTTATAAGAAACTTAACAAATCAAACGAAAATAAGATTCCTAGGCTTGATGATGCTCCCCAGACCCCTTGTGCCCACCAATTACAAAAGGTGTCCAGCATACTAGCAGATGCCACATACTCCCTATTCAGAGACATCTGTATGTAGACACAGGTGCATAAGAGAGGCGGGTATTCAGGCTGAATAACACGCTCTACTCCCCCCTGCAGCCTATACATGTTGATGACCTAATCTGTTCTAATTCATAAACTTCTGTGGGTCTACTATGGGTTAGTTTGCTCTTACTGATTGGTGCACAAGTGAATCCCTAGATGATGCTCATCATCTGTATACAATTAATACACAAAATTAAGCTCAATAGTTCATGCAGGTATTTATGTTTCACTTTGAACACCTTCCCATCCTTTCATATCTAGCTTTATCAGTATAACTTCCCCTTCGTACCTTTATCTAACCTTCCTTCAAATGCCTCTGATTGCCTCAAACACTCCATATGGTGACAAGTTCCAAATTCTTAGTATTCTTTATATAAAAAGGTTTCTGTAAACGTAACTGATACCTTACTAATGATCCTATATTGATGCCCTCTACTTTTGCTCTTCCCTACGACTTGTATTTATAAAATGCTTTTCATAATATTTGAAAGTTCCAAAGTATTTTAAGACTTTGAATTACTTTTGAGGTATTGACATTGTTGTAATACAGTTGAAAGATTTCTCAACATTTTTGTGACTGTTGGCTTATTCTTCCTGTTACATATTTTAACATTCTGTGTTGCCATAAGACAAAGGTGTAGAAGTAGGCCACTTATCCCACTAAGTCTACTTTGCCATTTATTGAGATCTTGGTTGATCTGATCACTTTTAGTTCCACTTTCCTGCATTTTCCCCATAAGTTTTGATTCCCTTACTGATTAAAAATCGATTCAGCCTTGAATATAGTTAATGACTCAGGCTTGAGAGTCTTCTGCAATAAAGAATTCCACAGATGCACTACACTCGAAGAGAAGAAATTTCTACTTATCTCTGTTTTAAAAAAGTTTTCGCCCTACTGTTCTGAGATTATGTCTTCTGGTCCTAATCTCTCTGATGTGGGGCAACAATCTTTACACATATACACATATTGTTAAGTTCTTACATACTTCAATAAGGCTGCCTCTCATTCTCCTAAACACCAACGAATACAGGCCCAACTTACTCAATCTCTTTTCATAAAATAATCTGTCCATATTGGGATCAAACTAGTGAACCTTCTGTAGGCTGCCTGCAAAACCAATATTTTGTTCCTTAAATAAGGGGCCAAAACTGTTCACCATATTTCAAAGCTGGTCTGACTAGTGCCTGTATTGTTTTAGCAAGATCAGAAATCACATAACACTAGGTTATAGTCCAACAGGTTTATTTGAAAACATAAGCTTTCGGAGCCTCAGTCCTTCTTCAGGTGTTAGAGAGAGACGTAGTATCAGACACAGAATT